GCCCCCACACCTCTCACCTTTACAATCACATATATGTTTGCTTACACTCTTGAATTTCCACAAAAATTGGCCATGTCCCCTTCTTGCAAATCTCCTGGCACCTCTTTCTTCAGCTGGCTTGACCTCCTTGCATGGTGCTCAAATTCCATGCTCCCTCTTCTGTTTGAGAGAATGAGTCATCTCACCTCCAGCCTCTCTTTCTTGGCCTCAGTACTCTTTCCTATTGCAGGCTTCACATGTGTCTTCCCCTATGAAGTGCACCCCACAGACAGCACTTCACTCAAAGGCACAGCATTTTTTTTTTCCCTGAAACCAGGCGAGTTGTTCAGTGTTCATCATAATAGGCAGATACTTGATGCAAATTTTTTAAAAAATAAAAAGACAATGAAAAACAATGACAAGAGCAACTAGCCAATCAGTGTAATGTCCCTTTCTCTGCACACAATCATCTCCAGCTGTAGGCCTTTTATCTTGAGAGTTCATAGGATATTGCATACACATAATTAACCCAAACAAACCCACTTTTGTGAAAAACATTTTGAAGACTTCAGCACAAAAGAACACTTTTTGGTCCAGATCCCATACTATTCTGAATTTTTTAAAAGACCACACAGAAGCCTCATCAGCAGTACCCTAATTAAACTCATCAGTTCACAGATGTTTACAGGAAAATGATCAGGGAAAATTTTCATGAAGAAATCCTGTTTCCTGGGGGGGGGGGGAGGAGAGAACGTTGGATGATGACAATAGTGATAGTGATGAGAACTGACATTAATTAATAAGTAATTCAATGTGCTCGTCCCTTTACATAGGCTAACACAAGTAAATTAATAACCCTTTGAGGATGTAAACATTATCATTCCTGTTTTACAGATGTCAAAACTGAGGTTTAGAAGGTTAAATAATTTTCCTAAGGTCACAGAGCCAAAAAGTACCAAGGCCAGGGCTCAAATCTAAGTCTGCATGACACAAAATCTTATGCTCTTGATCTCCGTCTTCTGTACCAGAACGATTATTATCACCTTTCCATGACTGAAACAAATGTGAATTCTTCAATCACCATGTAAAAACCACTTAACTACCACTTTCTTCAACTACCATTACTATTGCCACAAGTATCCTCTTTTTTTCCCCACTCTGTACCTCCACCCTTTTCTTAATTTCTGCATTCTGTCTAAAGATTTTCCTACTGGTGTGAAAATCTCTGGAAATGCAGTTTGAATATAACATTTTCTGCATTGTTTCACTGCCCACCTTCAAAATGGGAAAAGGTGGAATTTAATAAGCAGTGACCATATCCTTTTTTCACTGATAATCTAATAAGCTCTGTACTTTCTGCCCTCTGGGAAGACCGACAATGAGCCCTTGTCAGAAACAGAGCTTTGGTGCCATTGAATATCTAATCCAGTGAGTTTCTAGCCTTTGGGGTCTTTTTTCCATTGATTTGTCATTCCTTTTGTGTTATGCCAACAAATTTTGTTTCTCTTCTACTTTTTCAGTAGAGGTATTTATGGGGCCATGGTTACAACATTCCAAGCTGCCTTAGGCCATCATTTCTTTGAGAGAAAACTCATTTCCAAACACACTTTAAATCGTATGTGATCATCACCTGCATATATTCATTATTTAGGCAGAAGAGGTTCTGTCTTAAAATAAGTGGTTAAGTGAATATATAAGAAATTTTGAAGGGACCGTGAGAAATACTAAGCTACTTTGCATTTGTTTTCTTACTGTGTTAGTGTATTAGGATGATACCGTGTACTGTCACATTAGATTAAACAAGGACTATAATAATTACTTGGGCTTTTAAAATACTTTGGAATTTAAGTTACTTTTACATGTAGAGGAAGAGATGGTATAAGCCCTAGATTTTGATAATAGTACTTGAGGAACATCTAATTTTCATCTTTCAGGAAGATTGTAAACTAACTGATGGCTTTGCCATTTGGAGGCTGTGTGAACTCTTTGTTCAAAGCTAACTTCTTTAAGCATCAGGTTTTCTCATCAGTAAAATGGGCCTATTTATTGTGTCTACCTCATGTAGCTATAGGGAAGATCAGTTGTATGATTTATATTCCAATATATGACATAGTGCTCCCCAAATATGTGACGTGAAAATGTTAATAAATCTTAGCTCTGTTGTTTTTGTTACTTCTCTAGTATTAAGGACTATCATCATCAACTGTGCTCCTCACACCTTTAGTCCCTCTACATTCTCCCCCTGTGCATGGATCTATTTATCTATGCAATCATTCCACAAATGACTGTGTCCTATTGAATATGGGTTTCATGAGAGCAGGGCCCTTATTTATCTGGAAGAAGAAGTATAGCCGAGTGGTTAAGAGTATGGTCTCCTAAGTCAAACTTCTGGCTTTGAATTCTGCCTCCACCACTTATTAGATTACTGACTTTTGGCAAGTTTCTTAACCTCTTGATGCTTCTCTTATCTGTAAAATGTAATTATATCATCTATTTCATAGGCTATTTGTTTGTGTTAATATATGGAAAATTGGTAATAGTACCTGGCATTTAATACAGGCTGTATAAGTGATTGCTATATTAAGATTAACACTCTTAGGGTTTACCACTGTATCTCTAATACCTAGAGCAGTGCCTTGCATATTCTATGTATGCAGTGAACATTTTATCAGTGAAAAAACACATGCCAGATACTAGACATACAAAAATATTTGAGCCATACTACTTGCCTAGGAGAGAAATGTAAGAACTCACAGAAATGCTTCATGCTTCACAGAGAGTTTAAGGTCAGCATTGATAACATCAGTTGAGTTCAACTCCCTCTATTTCCAGGGTTCCTATTTTGGGTTACACTGTCAAAGTTTAACTGACATATGGAATTTATGTAGCAACATGTGGGAAAATAAATAAATAAAATAAAATAGTGCTACCAGGTATTGTATGATTAAGGTGAAAATTAAGGTGAATATGCACAGTAGTATCCCCTTCATCTGTAGTTCTGCTTTCTATGAATTCAATTTCCCTAAGTCAACCATGGCCCAAAAGTATTAAATGGAAAAGTCTGGAAATGAGCAATTCATAAGTTTTAAAGTGCATGCCAATCTGAAGAGTGTGATGAAATCTCAAACTATCCTGGCTGCATCCTAGTTGGGATGTGAATCATACATTTATACAGCATTTTCATGTACTATATGCTACCTGCTTGTTAGGCACATAGTTTATATATTAGTTATGAAATTAGCAATCTTAGTATCAGAGTGATTGTGTTCAAAAAACACTTATTTTACTTAAGAATGACCCTCAATGTCCAAAAGTAGTGATACTGGCAATGTTGATACAGTTTATTGAAATAATGTTCTATTTTATTACTATTGATCTATTGGTATTAATCTCTTATTATGCCTAATGTATAAGTTAAACTGTTTCAAAATTATGTATGTATACAAGAAAATACAGTATATATAGCATTAAATACTATCAGCAGGTTTAGGCATCCACTGAGTTTTTAGAACATATTCCCTTGGATAAGAGGGGACAGAATAGTATACAGGGATCCAATCCAATGTTCTGGACACATTTATTTTAATTTTATGTCATTTTAGCAAAAAGTATTTTTATATGGATGGCTCCATATAAAAATAGAAGTCAAATAAGAATAACATATATATTTAGGATACTTTTTGAATATATATTCTGATTTTCTAGTATTAATGTAATTTTCTGGGGAAATTGCATTAATACTAGAAATACTATTAATACTAGAAAAATACTTCAGATATCTGCTGTAATGTCACTTTCATGAAGTAAGAGGTACCTGTATTCCAGGCTTCTCTGTACAATAAAGAAAAGGTCATTAATGTTAAAGCTAATGGCAATAGAATACATTGAACTTTCTCACCTGTGAAGCCTTGTGTTCTAGCATTAGCACTTTTTCCTTGAAAAATAGACTCATCTTAAATGACAGTTAGATGGGAAATATTTTTAAAGCGAGTCAATACAATGCTGGGGAAACTGTATGGAAATGGGGCCTCATATCATACTGGTATGATGAGGATAAACACATCCATCTTTCAAAGAGTACTTTGGAAGAGTTGTCAAAAACACTTAATAATATTCATACAATTTGAACCAGCAATTCCAAGTATGTGATTTATTCCAAATAAATCATTAAAGTTGTGTATAAATATAGAAAAAGGGGTTATTAAAACATTATTTATAGTAGCAAAAAATTAGAAGCAAACTAAACATGCACTTGTGACAGTAGTTAAATCATTATTATTGCCATACAATGCCATGCTCTCTGAAACACCACTCATGCTATTGAGTATCAATGTTATGGACAAACAGTCACTCTAGATTTTAAAAAAAAACAAGTTCCAAAAGAATGATTGTAATATGGTCACAGTTACTTAAAGAAATATATCCAATTAGGGAGATTACGATTTTTATTTTCTTTTGTCTTTTTTATTCATTTTTTTCAGTTAATAGTTTACTTTTTAATCACAAAAGCTATAACATAATAAGAAATACATTTGACCCCTTATTTCTTCTTTCCATGAATACTGTCCTAATTTCTATTATATCATATCCTCATAGAGAAAGGCAGAGGCAATCTTGTTTCATAGCATAAATGACTATACCTTATTTGCTTTTCTAAAGCTTAACCCACCTGTTCTGTCAAAGTATGACATAGTTACTGAACTAATCATTGCATTTTAATCTTTAAATAAGATTATAATTCTAAGCCAAGTGTGGTGGTGCATGCCTGCAATCACAGTGATTTAGGAGGCCGAGACAGAAAAATTGCAAGTTTGGGGCCAGCCTCAGCAACTTAGTGAGGCCCTGTACAGTTTAGCAAGACCCTGTCTCAAGACAAAAAAATTAAAAAGGACTGGGGATGTAACTTATTGGAAAAGTGCCCCTGGGTTCAATTCTCAATACCTAATAATAATATCATGATACCAGATATCTTCTCTACAGCTGCATAGGTTTAATTCTAATACTGATTTTCCCCCTTTCAGGTAAACAACTACAGTTTAGAAGAAGTGACACATGAAGAAGCAGTAGCAATATTGAAGAACACATCTGATGTAGTTTATCTAAAAGTTGGCAAACCTACCACCATTTATATGACTGATCCTTATGGTCCACCTGATATTACTCACTGTAAGTACTACGCTCAGTATGCTTTTCAAATAGCATGCCAAGTATACAAAACTGAAATTCTACAAAACTGTATTAAAAGTGCTCTGTTTGCACCTTCACTATTCTCTAGTTTCTGGAACTACTTCAGAGAGAGTATTTTACATTTCATTCCCACATTGCTTTACAAGACCTTAGCTAGTGTTTGGAAGGTGGAAAGCCTTGATGAGTTGCCAGGTCCACCAGTGAGTGTGGTTATATAGTGTAGGGGCAACACATTCCACAAGACTATTTCTCAAGCCCCTCAAGCATAATCATTCTATGCCATAACATTCTCTATATTCTCTCATCCTGATTCATATCTGTAAGGCAGCAGCATGGAAAAGAGGGCTAGCCAAAAAAAAAAAAAAAAAAAAATTCTATGCTTCTTCCCAACGAAGGGGATCTTGTGCTTAGATGGTGAAATCATGATCCTCTGGTGTCATCTTAACTTTGCCTTTGCTTACATTTGTTACATTTCAGGGAATCAAGAGTAAATAGTGACTATGTCAGTAGAAGTGGGCTGGAGGAAGGGTTCTAAGGCAGCAACTGACTTCAGATACCGTGCTGAGGTACTCAAAACATCCTCTGCTATTAAGGCCCATGTTTTCTCTCATTATTAGGTCAACAGGAAATCATCTAAGGTTCTGTCTTTGGGGACTAAATTTAGGGTCCATTCACTTTTTAGATGTAGATTTGATAGTTTTGTTTTCATAACTAAGCTTGCTTATGCCAAAATTTTGAGAGTTCATTTGTGAGTCTAGAAGCTTGAAATGTCTTCAGGACCTGCCATTAATTAGGATTATAGGCTTAAGGAAGTTGTTCAACTTAAGAGAAATTTAAGGGTTGAATAATTTTGTTACCTGCTCATTACATTAGCTATTACTTTTCTTAATTAAGATTCTAAAATGACTTGCCCCCAAATATACCCCCAAATATATCTTTTTTAAAAAAAGCAGGCAATAAGCTGGCCTTACTTTAAAGTAAGCAACAGTCTTAACATTCAGAATTTTTTAAACTATACATATGAAGATAAATCAATCTATGAGCTACTTTATGGGGGGCTTAAAATAAGGCCAATGTCAAAGAGACAAAAAGCAGGTTTTGTTTGTGAAAAACAAAGCTAAAAAATTCAAAAAATACATATTGAGTTACTTGATATGTACAAAATACCTCAAAAGGAAATATGTGGGATGCAGAAGAAATATAATCATGGCCTTCAAGGAGCTTGGTTAGAAGGTAAGCTAATTCAGATACATAAATAGCAGCAATATTTGGCAGAAGTGGAGGGAATATATATTCCAGAGGGGAGGTAAAAATAAATGTCCTTTGAGGACTCAAAGAGGGAAATATATCATCCATCTTTGGAAGATTAGGAAAATCTTTATCCAGAGGGTAGCATTTGAATTGTAACATGAAAAATGGTGAGATTTCTACATCTGATGTGGAGTAAGAGGCACAAACTGTAGATAGTTAGTACAGTGGAATAAAAGTATAGTTATAAGGAAGCACAGATTTTGAGGATAACACAATTTGTGTAAGGGGGTATTGAAATGGATTGATTTTATAAGAATGACAAAGAGAAGAGTTTATACTATATTCAATACAGTACTGGAAATGAGGAACCTCTAAGCAGAAAACAGCATGATCAGAACTGGATTTCAGGTGGGATTACTGAAATAATGTATAAAATGGATTTGAGGAGAGAGTGATGGGCAAGAGACCCAGTCAGGAGGTATCTTCCTAGTTGCTCAAAAAAGCAGATGAGTTAAGGAAGAGGAGTGTAAAGAAAGGCCAGAGTTCTTGGGGCTCTCTGGAATGAGAATATAGATGGCATTTGGGTGGTGGGGGGAGTCTTATGAAAGAACTCATTCCTTAGGAGCCTTTTGCTTTTGATGAGTGTATATTAATTATGTGAAAATGTGAGTTCTGCAATTAGAAAGCTAACATTTTTATTTCAATAGAAAATTAATCATCATTCTGAAAATATGTGTGCTAGATCTCCCCTCCAATTCTTCTCTTCACTTAATTATACTAATTGACATTACAATATAATGGTTATTACATCTTTCCATTCCTAAAGGTCACCATGTGCTTGTATATATTAACTGCAAACAAACAGCAACTCTTCATTCTTGGGGGACAAGAAAATCCACAGCACGTAGCAATGCCTATTTTTAACATATCTTCTGAAGTATAGCATGGAACATTGAATCACCCACATAACAAGTTTCATTTCACTTCTTTTCTCCTCCTCCCCTTAGCTTATTCTCCACCAATGGAAAACCATCTACTCTCTGGCAACAATGGCACATTAGAATACAAAACCTCCCTGCCGCCCATCTCTCCAGGAAGGTACTCGCCAATTCCAAAGCACATGCTTGTTGAAGATGACTACACCAGGTCAGATATGCTTGTGGGGTGACTGGGTTTGCTATCATTACCAGGAAGAAATCACATTAGCCTAATATCTGAGTTGTTGCTTTGAGGACTGACTGAAACTTCTAGTGCCATTCAAAATAAGTATAGTCTTCCCTCAAGTGCAAAGCTTCAAATACTTGTAAACATGTTTTATTGTTCTCTGGTGGGAAAAAAAACATGATTAGAGTAATATACACTTCTCTATCACTTTGTGATTTCTTAAGAGTCTCCATACTTGATTTCATTGAACTTTATAGGCACAGTGTAAGATAGGTGCTATTACTTAAGGAGGGAAGATACTGCTGAGGTTCCAAAGGAGGGAAATCACATGCCAATATTATTTACCCATTGAGTTGATTGAGGTCATAACTGAAACTCTGTTCTTTTGACTTAAAATCCCACATGCTTGCCACCAATAGCCACTTATAGTACAGTGGAATTTGGGAATTAATCAACCTTCCCTCTAATTGCAATAGCTATACGTTGAAAGGAAAGGAATAAAGTTAACTCCAAATGGTTTTAAATTAACATGCCCTGTTAATTCCAAATGAAACAGGATTCTAAGAACATGCAACTACATTCTAATCTACATTCTAATCTCCTAAATAAAGTCAAATGTATCCAGACCTCCTCTGAAAAAGTCTGGTTTGGAAGCTCACAGAGAAGACCAACATGGTTTACTTAAATGGTCACTGGCAATGATTCTATAAATATTGAATGATGAATAGATGAATGAATGGGTGGATGAATAATTAAAAATGTGCATTACTTTTTATTTTAAATGTTTTTGTTTCAAAGTAATATTTATATTGTACATGTAACAAAGGAATAAAAAGGTGATTAAGAAACAAGAATCTCCCTCAAACTTCCTCCAGAGGGACCTATCTTGATGAACTCAATATGACAGCTTGTCATGAACCTTTCATACCTTCCCCATGTCATACAAATACATATAAATACATACTTAGCTATGGTGGAGCTTGGCATTGATTTGGCAAAATAAATTCATATTTTGCACATTGCTCTGCAATTTGACTTTCTCCTTAAATAATACTTTTACCAAAAATGAGAGTAAATATAGATATGTACACTTTATTTTTGTATGTTTTTATGTGTAAATAATGAAAGAGATGGATTGTTTTGCTTTTCTCTCCTGCCTGTCTAATTGAAGCCATTTGTCAGCCTTTAAGAAAGTAAAGGAGCCTTCCTGCCGGAGCATGTGCATTCTTTGGTATATCTTTTTAAATGATTAAGCATTTTCCATTTATTTTGCAATATCAGGTTTGCTGAAGTAGCTTGTTATATCTTTAGCCAAGGGATGGGATGTTTTGAAGCTGCAAATGTACATCTGTGGTATAAATCAAATATAAATTTCTTCCTGTGCTGAAGTGTCTGATCTTTATGCTCTCAATTAAAATGAGGGCTGCAGCAAAGATAATCCTCATGGCTCTGGAAAAAAAAAAAGTGTAAATAGAGACACCTTTATCCACTAGAGCAATGATCTATTTGCTTTTACACTATCACTAATATTTGATATGTTTTTAATTTGAAAATGTCATTTTATCTTAGGACCCATAATAAATTAGCAGTTATTAAAGCCTCTTTGTAATCTGGGCACTTTGCTAGCTCTTTGACATACAGGATCCATTTAATCCTCCCCAAAACAGAAAGGCTTTCATTCCTATTTTAGAGGGTAGAAATTGAAGTGCAAAAAGTTTAAAGGAAACTGCTTATGGTCACAGAGTTTTTCAGTAGAACTGAGTTTCCCTAGAAATGTTAAAATCCTGACTAAGAAGAAACATTCTTATTTTCTCCTTAATTTCAAAGTGAAAACCAAATCATATAAAACTTTGCTTATCCCAGGAATCTGAGAGTTTCGATGAGCTCTAAAGAAAACTAGAAAACAGGGTTGAGACCTAACTCTATAGCTGGCTAACTATGTGGCCCTGGGGAAATTGCAAGCCTTGGTTTCCTCATTTTTGCAAGGGAATAGCTATTGAATCTGTCTTAACAGGTTGTTGTCATAATTCAATGAGATTACAAATGCAAAGAACTTAGTGTCTGACACATAATAAATACTAATGAATGCTATCTATTTACAGAAACTGTACTTTGTATTATTCCTATCTACTTTGGATGTCACAAGGAATGTTTTGGAAAGAGAATCAACTTTTCTTCTGCAATGACCATGCCTCAGTGTCTTCCTTCCTCTGATTCCTTTTCTGTTCCCTTGCAAGACTGTCTTACTAATAACTCCACAACATCTTCATGATTGTTGCCTCGCTTGTAAAGTAAATCAGTTCAGTTCACATACATACACTCCCCTGCCACTTCCACCATTGCTGGTGTCTTGTACCCTGTGCTCTAAGCATTACCATAGGATTCAGAGGTATTTGCTCTGAAACAGATTCATTGCCTCATTCATTAATATTAATTCAATATTTTCTACTAGACTGTTGATATTTCACTAGAAATGAAAAATTGTTGAAGAAGTAGCATCTAAGAATTATTATATTGGGAAAAATATGTACAAACCAATGGATTCCCCAATTCCTGTTTCCTAATTATGCAAACTCAACTCCTCCAGAAAGTTTTTCACAAAGCTTAACTTATTAATTGTTTCAAAATCTTGAGATTATGGTTTCTGGTGTCAAAATGACTTTCTTTCGTAAAAGAATCATGGTAGTCAAAAGTAGTTATTTATTATGTCCTTACCTAGAAAAATGAAAGTTAACAACTTTGTCTCAGTCCTCTTTGTAAATGTCAAAGATCTTTTAGATAAAATTAAAAATCTGGGAATTATTAATACAAAGAAACAAAACTAGATCACTTCCATGAAATGCTCTATGTAGCCCTAGCAGAGCTCTCTACCACCATAGGAAGCACGTAGGAAATATTTATAAATGAGTTTGGATTTTACACAGAAGCCACAGGAATGGCCTATGGCACTGAAGGAAATTTTAAAGAAGAAATAAACTCTTGAGTTTGAACTTTGAAATGTATAGGTATTGGTCAGAGTTAGGAGATCAGAAAGGATATTTTACTAGGGAAATGGCTTGTGCAAATGTTCTCTCTCTCTCTCTCTCTCTCTCTCTCTCTCTCTCTCTCTCCCTCTGTGTGTGTGTGTGTGTGTGTGTATGTGTGTGTATGGTATATATATATATATATATATATATATATATATATATATATACCTATATTATCTATATGATATTCTTGATTTTTACTGATAGCAAAAATGCTTAAAGACATTAAGAAATTGCCTCATATCATACAGCATATAGAAATAAAATTAGAATCTTGATCAGCCTTTGAAGGTATCATCTCCCCATTCCCACCCCTCATTTTAGTAGCCTCTTTTCATGGAAAAATGGTAGATGAATTAACTGGGTTCGTCATCCTGTCTCTCCTCCTTACTACCTACATGACTGAACAAATCACTTAATCTCTTCAAGTCATGGTTTTCTCATCTGTAGATTTGGGATAAAGGATCTTCTAATTTCCTCTGGGAGGTTTTAATATGATAGTATGTATGAATATTTTATTGTAATTTTCAGGAGGCTACATGAATTTATTATTATCCTAAGATCATGTAGTAGCTTATGTTTGAGGTCTACTTTAATAATAATAAATCAAGGAATGTATCTCCAACAATGGGACCTGAACCAGAAGGAAAACATTTCTATGAAAAGGATGTTTTCCCAACATCTTAGAAAATCACATCAAATGGGAAATATTTTATTGGACAAACTCACATCTTGGTCTGTTGTAAGTATTTTTCTATTTCCCTGACTTATATTCACTATTTTTTCTTCCAATACTGGGGATGGACTACATCTTGGGACTTGCAAAGGCTAAGCAAGTGTTCTACCACTGAGCTACATCCCTAGAGCTTATATTCACTTTTGTTATGGATGTATACTAAGATTGTTTAGCTTTTCCACTGACAGAGAAAGAAAAAGCAAAGTGTAAAATCTTGAATACAATTATCTTTTAGACTCCCTACTGAGTCCCCTGTAAATCAGTTTTCCTAGTGGTATTGAGGTTTTTATCTTCTTGAAAACAATAATGCCAAGGTGTTTTTTGGCACAGAAACTATAGACTTTTCAAAGTTGGAAGAGCCATAAATAAATATGAAGTCTAATCACCGTTTGATGGGCAAGGAACTCAAGGACCAGAATGATTTGTAAGTTTTTCATAGGCCCATATTTATAAATATTGATAGATTCATATTTAGTACCAGCTTTGAACACCCAGTCCAGCCCTCCTTCTGTTTCTTTAAAGCGATGTTCATTGTTTATCTTATTTAATTTTTGGTCTGGGAAAAGAAAGTAACTATTTCAAACAACACAATCAATCAATCAAGAGTCACCTGTGAATAAAGTCCACTTTGCATATTACCTACAACTGTAGATTCCACTTCTACATGACCAGTTCTTCCCTGGTTCTCAGAAAAAATGCAAGCCACACATCCTTAACATCTGACTTAATAGTCTTAAGATACCCATACAAACTATTAGTACTAAAATGGAAATAGAAAAAAAAATAAAAGAGGATGCAAAGTAAAACTACTCTTTCAATATTTATGCACTTAATTTTCAAGTTCTGAGTGTAGTAAAGGTTGTTATGAAAATCAGGGACCTAAATACATCTATAAGAGACATAATCTAACTTTAGAAACCAGTGTTAGATGCCTAGTCCTAAATTTATCCAGGTATCTTTCTGATTGTCTCCACATAGTGTTCCCTCACATAGTTTGGCTGATCCCAAAGCATAATCTAAACAAAGTCGTAATAAAGAATTCTTGTCTATAGAATCTTTCAAGAACAAATCCAAATTATAACTCAATCCTCGCCAGTTTGAATACATTACTTACTTAACAGGTATGATCCCATTGGGGTGGAGTTCACCTCCATTCTTCTCCCTGAATAACAGAACACTAGCTGACTCCTTATGCCATCTGATACATAGTAAAGTTGTCT